TGACAATAGTGAATTGAGTTCTTATTCTGTTCCGGGTGCTTTGCTAAGTGTTTTATATACACACCTCATTTCACTCTTATAACCCCTTTGAGACACAATTGCTGATATTATCTCCATTTTACAGTTAGGGAAACTGAGGCTCAGAGCATTGACGTCATGTAAGCACAGAGTGGCAGAACCAGGGATTCAAATCTGGATCTGTCTAACTCCAGAGTTCAGCTCACAAACACCAACCTGCATCTCTTCTTGGTGGCCCTCCTCCTCTCCTTGCCCGGGTCTCAGAGGGTACTGGATCCTTCCTATGCTGCTGGCTCAATGCCAGACCATCTACCTATACATTTGACCTCATCCCTTCCCATCACCTCCCCAACCTCAGCCATCCCCTCTCTCATATCATCGGAGCTGAAGCTGATTCTCACAGATGTGGAGTAGAATCATCTGGTTGCTTCTCTGTTCACTTGTCTGATGCTGGAACTGGGATGACTCAAAGGCCAAGCTCAGTTGGGAGGGTGGTGACTTCTGTGGGTTCTCCATGTCATTTTGGCTTTCTTTTAGCATGGCAGCCTCAAGGCAGGCAGACTTCTTGCATTAGCACCTCAGGTCTCCAAGAGCTAGAGTTCCAGGAGGAGTGCCTGTCCTTTTATGTCCTGGCCTCGGAAGTCAGAGCATCACTTCCACCATACTCTGTTGGTTGAAGCAGTCTTCAGCTCACCCGAGATACGAAAAGAGGGTACCTAGATCCCACCTTGCTGCAGGAGAAGTGCTAAGGAATTTGCAGCCATGTTTTAAAACTGCTGCAGGTTGTTTCCAATCTTTTGCTGTTCCTGCACTTCATTTTACCCCCCTCCCCCGCAACAACTCTTGAATCCATTCATTTCTGTGCAAGCCCACTAGGCCAAGACATCGTCATCTCTGACATGGAGTCTCCTTACGGATTTCTTTCCTACCTCGCTTGGGCTTTTTATCCTGTTCTTCCCAGGGATCGACAGCCAGAGGGATCTTTTCAGAGTGCAGATCAGATCACACCCCTCCCCTCTTTACAACGCTTCCATGGCTCCCTACTACTCTTGGGTTGAAGTCCAGACTCCTTACCTTGGCTTGTGAGGCCCTGAAGGGTCTCACATCTGCCTGCCTCTTCAGGTTCATCTCCTGTCACATGGGAGGACTTCAGTCTTGAGCTCTAGGAATTCCTCTCTCCCTCTCTCTCTCTCTCTCTCTCTCACACACACACACACACACACACAGTTAAATGGGTGTAGTACATATATAGCACTTAGAGAAGTACTTTGCTCACACTCAGCATCATATATTCGCTGTTTTTATTAGTCTGTGTTCAGTAGATGTTTATTGAGCTGCCTGCTCAATGCCAAGGGCCCTGTGAGGCTCGGGGGTACAACAGTGAAGGAACAGGATGTGTCTCCACCTTGCAGAGTTTATGCATCCCTGTGTCCCCGGCCCACAGCCCAAGGAGAGACGGAACGGACACTCAGGGCATGAAAGCCCGTGTGCACAATGGTGCCTGAAGAAGCTTGGAGAGGTGTGGTGACTTTGCCAAGCCCATAGAGTGAACGTGGGACAAAGCCAAGGCTGTGGGTGGGCACACGACAAGGAATGAGGTAGACTCAGCTGCCTGGCAAGGGCTGGCTCTCCAGGGAGATGGGCCAGAGGACACACTGTCCAGGACGGAGCTAGGGGTAGGTTGGGAGAGAGAACAAGGGAGGATCCTTCCAGAAGGGAAAGGACTTGTCTCTCCCAGCAGCTTCTCTCCAACCCCAGCTCCCTTCTCAAGATAAGGGGCGCTGATCCTCAGCAAGGGGTAGGGGCTCGAAGAGGGAGAGAATGGAGAGAGGATGGGGGACTCAGTGAGAGTGTGAGGACTGCAGTCAGATAAGGGGCTCCTGATGGAGGCAGGAGGGGACTTCCTGGTAGGGACCCGGCGGGAGAGAGGTGGGGCTCAACGAGAGAGCCAGGAGTCTGTGAAGAGGATGGGGGCGCAGCCAGTAGGTGAGCGTTTGTACATTGGGGTGAGGGCTTCATGAGGGGGATGGAGGCCCAGAGAGGAACAGAGGATACAGTGCAGAAATGAAGGCTCAATGAAGTCAAGGGTCTTCAGTCAGGGGGTTGGGAGATTGAGGGAGTGATGGGACAGTCAGACGAGGAGTTTGAGGGACTGCATGAGGGGGTGGGGTCGAGGGATATGATGGGGTCCCCGCGAGGGGCCTGGGGTCTCAGAGAGAGAAGAGAACTCTTGGAAGGGGACCAGGGCTCGCAATCCTGCAGGGGTCCGAAATCTGCAGAGCCAGCCCTCAGGGCGCGCCGGCGCCCCCCCACCCGTGTCACCCCCGCCCCCCAACTGCGGCGCAGGCGCCAACACAACCTGCTTCTGCTCTGCTCGCGTTCCCGCTCCCGCTCGGCGGAGACTGCGGACGGAGAGGTGAGCTCAGCCCTGCCCCACGCTCGGCCCGACCCCCACCCCGCCTCCTCCCAGGATCTGGAGAACCCCCACCCCTGCCGCATCCCCAGCCCGGCCGTGTCCCGCCTCGGGCGGGACGGCGGCGCCCCAGCCCTGGTGTGCCTCGGGCTTTGCGAGGTAGGGTCTCGGGGAAGTAGCAGGGGCAGAGGTCTCGCCAGCCCAAAGCCCGGAGACACTTCAGGGTTGGTAGGCTGGGAGGAGGCCTCAGAGGACAAGACCCCACCCACCTCTGCAGAAAACCCATTCCCGCCCCTCTTTGCCTCAGTTTCCCTCTAGGGGAAAGGATGCACTTAATCTCAACTGGGGAACTGGTGGTCGGCTCAGAAACAGTGTGCGGTGGGGGCGGGGGAAGTTGGCCTGATTTCTCTGGCCTCACCCCCCAAGACAGCGTCCCTTCCGCCTGAGCTACGCTGGACGCTGCAGTGCGCGGGTCCGGGGGTCTGGGAAGGAGAACTGAGAGAGGCCCCATAAATACGAGAGATTCCACCCATCTTCGGGCCCTCGTGGCTGTCACCGCTCGCCTCCTCGCCGCAGCCTCCACCCCTCGGACCCAGTAGCTCCGTCCTCTTCCCTCTCCCTTCTCACGGAGCTCCTCCCCCATCCCGCCTAAGGACAGCTCCCCAGCAGTTCCTTGGCAACCCTGGTCCTGGGCTCTCAGCATCCTCTCCCACCCTCCCCCAGACCGCCAGTCCGCCTCCCGGCAACCCTAAAAGGAGGGGGAGGGACCCGGTCGAGGGGGAGGCAGCGTCAAGGTCACCTTCCCGCTCCGATGCCAGCAGGATCGGGTGATGTATATTTGGAGGAGAGGGACAGTGAGCTGCACGAGAGGAGGAGCTAACCCTGGCCTATAATCCCTGAGCTCCCTCCCCGCCCCGTCCCCTAGGATCTTCGGTTAATGGTCTTTGCACTGATGCCCACCGCCCCGCCGGCCGGGATGAGGAAGCTGAAATCTCCTGGGGCGGTGCCCGCTCTGGCCACACCTTCTGCAGAGCCCCACCCCTCCCCCTCCCCTATTCCCTCGAGCGCCGGCTCTTCACCTCACCACTCGCCCTCTTCTTTCTGTCTTTGGCTTTTGATCTCTGCCTTTCCCCATTGTATGTCAGTGGGGGTGGGGGGTGTTGTCTCTTACCCCTTTTCCCTTCTTTCCCCTGAGTTTTGGGTGAGGGCTGTGGAGAGCTGTGATTTATAGACAGGCTTTAACGCAGCACTTCTGTGTGCTGGTGTGGGTCCATAGAACCACCTCCAACACACACTGTGGCTGTGTGTGTGTGTGTGTGTGTGTGTGTGTGTGGTGTGTCTGAGTGTCTGTGTCTTTGTGCTGTGTGTCTAGCTCTGTGTGTCTCTGTGTGGTATATGTGTGCCTGTCTGTATATGTCTGTGGTGTTGTGTGTGTGTATGTACATCTATCCGTGTATGTCTCTGGTGTGTGTGTGTGTTTCTCTGTGCTGTGTGTTTGTGTGCTGGTGAGTCTTTCTCCACAGGGATTTGAGGATCACATCTGGAAATGAGAGGGGACTAGAAATTTGTCTTATCCTTCAGTGTAAGCACATTGCTTCATTTTGTTTGAAACTGCTCAGAGGGACTGAGGGCCATCATGGCATGGGGGGGAGCCCAGTCCTTCCCCAGCAACCCCCACCCCCTTTGCTTTTAGTCCTAAGGATGTTTGGATACACAAGGACCTTCCATTCCCTAGGCCTCAGTGTCTCCATTTGTGAAAAGAAAAGTCCTTAGATAGGTTTCTTTAGAAATCTAATGTTGAGCCTAAGAACACCTAAGCCTGAGGACCCCTGACTTTCACCTTCTGTGGAGTCAAGATTCCTTGGGACTTGGAGATTGTTGCCTTCTGAGGGGCAGCCCTGGGGAGGGATCTTTTAGGACCTTGCAGCTTGGGGAGCTCCACCCGATTGGACGAGTGTCAACCGTGACACTTTCAGCCCAGAATACCTTGAAAGGCGGGAAATTAAGGGGAAGAGATTTGGAGAGGAGATGGGGATAAGAAGCTCTCACTCTAGACATGGGGCTCTAGAAGTTCAGGATAAAATAATAATGAAGAAATTACAGTAATAATAGTCACAGAAGCTATCATTTCTTGGCACCGGACACAAAACTGTATAAAGCAGGTATGATTATCAGCTGTGTTTTACAGATGAGGAAACTGAGGCTTAGAGAGGTGAAAGCACTTGTCTGACATCACACAGCCGGGAAGTGGTGATCCTGGATTCCAATCCAGACAGTCCCGGCTCCAGAACCCACAGTTCCAGCCACTGGGTGGCCTCCACAGGAAACATGCAAATTTATTGCCACCTACGAAGGCTGTGGGCTAAGCACTCAGTGCCTTGGCCCATTCGCACTCTACTCAGACCAGGATTCCAGAAGGACAGGCTCTGCTGTGAGTGTGAGCTCTCTAAAATGGGTGGAGAGGTGAACGTAGCACAAAGATTCCGGGGGCCTTGGAGAGTCACCATGGGCAACCCTCACTGCCCCCTCCCTCTGTCCACTGCACCTGGCCTACCCCACAGGAACCCAGGATGCCAAGCTGCGAGCGTCCCTGTGGCTGCAGCCGAGGCCCCAACGTGGAAGATGGCAAGTGGTATGGGGTCCGCTCCTATCTGCACCTCTTCTACGAGGACTGTGCAGGTACCCCCCTCAGCGATGACCCTGAGGGGCCTCCTGTACTGTGCCGTCACCGACGTTGGCCCTCACTGTGCTGGAAGGTAAGGTGGAAGGAGGAGCAATTCCTGTGATTTCCTGTGGTTTCAGGGAGGAGGTGGGATCAGTGGATAGAAAGAAAAGGGGCTGCGTAGCAATTAGGGGTCTTGCATGTTCAAACAAGAGGAAACCCAACTCAAATGAGTTTCAACAATAAAGGGAAAATATTGCTCATTTTATGGAAGAGACCAGAGGTTGGGGGCCTTCAGGCAAAGTTCGCTCCAGCAGTTCAAAGCATCACACTGAGGATTCAAGATTTCCTTCAGGCTCCCCATGGTACCCCCATCCTTGCAGCCCATTAGTTTGAGGCTCTCCCCATGTGTTCTCCAAACGACTGCTCCCAAGCTGACCCTCAGTCTCTCACTCCACACCTTCCAAGGGAAATCAGAATTTCAACCAGTATTTCTTTCAGAAAAGAAACAATGCTTTTCACTTCCAGAAGTCCTGGCAAGTATTGCATTGGCTCTGACTGGGTCACTTGCCCAGCCCTGAGCTAATTACTGTGGCCAGAGAGATGGTATATGCTGACTGGCAGGAAGAAGGGTTCACCTCACTTAAATCTTCCTGTGGCTTCCCAAAGATCTACTGGGGGACTGTTGCCAGGACAGTAGAAAATGTGAGAGAAACGAACAGTCAATGTCCATACCAGCCATGGAGGGTGGTCAGTTAGGGAGCACCATGTGAGTAAAGGCATGGAAGTGGCAGTGAGCTGGGTCCCTACAATGCTCTTTGATAAATACTATAGGAAGCCTGAGACAGAGGGTCCCTCCTCTCTGCTTTCAAAAGTCTTCGCTCTAGTGGGAAGGCGAGGTGCCAACCTGCACAGAGAATGCACAGCCTCAGGCCAGGTGTGCAGAGGATGGCAGGAGAGGAAATGCCCTCAGTGTCTGGGGTGATCAGGGAAGACTTCCAGGAGAAAGTACGTATTTTAAGTTTTTGAGCATCTTCTTATTGCCAAGCAGTGTGCTAGGATCTTGGGGACACAGAATTTAAGACGATGTGGTCCCTGTCTTTGAGGAGCTCCTAGCTGTGGTTCATTTAGTCATTCTGCAAACATTCGCTCAGCTACTGCTGGATACCAGCACCGTGCTAGGCATGGAAGACACCTTGGGAGCCAAAACAGGCAGTCTCTAATCTCATGGCTTTCCCAGCTCTCAGTCCAGTGTAGCAGGCAGACAGACATCACTTACATAGTAACCAAGGTACACGTCCAGGTGTGCACCAAGGTGAGTGCACTGAAGAGCAAATGGGCACAGCGTTTGCATGAGTGCAGAGCTGGGGACTTGACCCAGTCCAGGGGCATCCTGGAAGGCTTCCCTGAGGAGGTGAGGTTTGAGATGCATGTGATCTGAGGGATGTGTAGAAGTTAACCCGACAGAGGAATAGAGGTAGAGGGTAGATGGGACAGGGGGATAAGATGGGACCCAAATGATGATTCAGGGGGACTCAAGGCTGGCAGAAGAAGTCCACTGCCAGGTGGGAGCTGAAAGGGAAATTAATTCAGAGGCCTCAAGATTTCAAATAGAACGTGATAGTTTGTGCCCTTGTCAATTAGACCTAACAGGTGTGTCTATGATCCCATCTTTTAAGGTTGGACCAAGGGGTTACCTTTAAGTCCAGTTGGGATCCAAGGTGATCCCTTGGCCTGGGGCCCCAGCTGACCCTGACTGCCTCCCAATCTGTCTGCTTCTCTCCAGATCAGCTTATCCTCAGGTACCCTGCTTCTGCTACTGGGTTTGGCAGCCCTGACCACTGGCTATGCAGTGCCCCCCAAGTTGGAGGGCATCGGAGAGGGCGAGTTCCTGGTGTTGGATCAGCGGGCAGCCGACTACAACAAGGCCCTGGGCACCTGCCGCCTGGCTGGCACAGTGCTCTGCGGGGCAGCCGGGATCTTGCTGGCCATCTGCATGTTCTGGGCCACGACTGGCTGGCTGAGCCAGGACCCCAAGGCAGAACCCTTGGACACTGAAACCGATGGCCACATGGAGGTCTTCGGGGATGAGCTGGAGCAGCAGTTGTCCCCCATTTTCCATGACACCAGTGGCCGGTCTTGGTTCTCACCACCCGCCAGCCACTTTGGGCAATCCTCTGTGCAGACCATCCAGCCCAAGAGGGACTTTTGAGCCACCCTCACGGCCAGAGGAGGAGCCAGGCCTGGGGTCTGGACCCTTCCTCCGCCCCACCGCATCCCACCTTCCCATTGTCTCCCTAACTTCTCCCTTTCAATGGGGCCCCTTCCATCTAAGCCCCCAGAAAGCCCAACTCCAGGTCAGAAAGTCTGGAGCTCACATCTCTGTGTCCCCTTCCCAGGGGTAGGGCTCTAAGTCCTCCAAGATGCCAGCCTTCCCCGAGTCACCCCAAAACTTCCCACCCATTCCTCCTTTCCAAAGCCATTCAGGGGCAGAAAACTCCCTCAACCTATCCCCGCTCTTTCCTCTGTATGACCTTGGGCAAGCCCCTTACCCTTTCAGACCATCAGTTCCTGTCTCTGCACTAATGAAGGGTTTAGACCAGATTCTAGAGTTCCATGACTTTCTTTTTCTCCCCAGGATATAAGTATGGTAATAGGCATATCTTTGCCTATGCCTTTGGTAATAGGCATATCTTTGCCTTTCCATAGGCAAAGATAAGGGGAGGGGTAGTGGGGTCATTCTTATCCACTGACCCCTCCCTCTGTCAGCTGCACCAGGAGGCCTCAGGATGGGTCCAAGATGCTCACTTGGACCAGGATGGTGCAAAAACATTTCCTCCTTACAGTATGTTTTCTATACATCTTGGCATCAGAGCCCCCAGTCCACCCCATCCTGAACGATTACTAACCCCAGTTTACAGATGAGGTGGCGGAGGGAGGCTGACAGTCTGCAGGAACTCGGACCCACGTCTGTAGACTCCTGGAACAGATCTTGTTCCACAGTGGGAGCAGGACCCCACACCTTCCTGGCTTCCAGGGGACCCGCAGGGGTGGCACAGGTTCGGCCCAGAGAGACTAGCTGATGCCTAAAGGACCCAGGTGGCTCAGAAGATACTTTGGACATGCATTTAAATGGTCTCTAAGAGCCAGGGGGCAGGAGTACTGGGATGTATTTGCCCCTCCGAGTCCACCCACCTAGAAACCATCACCCACAGGTCCTGACCTCACCCTGTACAAATGTGCCCTCCTGGAGGCACCAACCCCTCCATCCTTCAGGCTCCCCAGCCAGATGCATCATCTCTGTTCTCTACCACTAGGGGGAGCTCCAAGACAGCTGGAGAGAGATGCCCAAGGCTCATGCCTCTACCCTCCCCCTTTAGTCTCAAGGTGGGGGGTGGGGTGGGGGGGGCAGCCCTCCTGGGAGGGTCCTCAGTCCTCCTCCACAAAGCAGGCCCTACTGCCCCTCCCCATTCTGCACCCTTCCACCGCCCCGCCCCCACCCCTTGCCTTTCAATAAACAGCTGGGATGGATACTGACTTTGCTTCTCTTCTCCCTGACCACCAGGGCCTGGGGAGGGAAGAAAGAAACTGCTGTGAGCACCTACTGTGTGCTGGGCACTTAAATCCATTATTTCTCGTTTGCGCCTCACGATAATCCTTTGAGAAAGTGGATGATTTGAGAAAGTGGATCATTTTACAGATGAGATGAGAAATTTCTCAGCCATCTTGACAAATTTCTGTCTCCATCCCTGAGAGGGATGTGAGGAGGGGGTTCTGAGGGCCGGAGCTGGAGCCAAAGGTGGGATCTTTTCCAGGAAGATAAGAACAGGTAACCTCCACTAGCACTCACTGGGGGCCAGGCCTTGTTCTCAGGGCCTCACAGACATGAGCTCGGTGAACCTTCACAACCACCTAGGTGGGGACTGTTATTCCCAAATCTCACTCCCAGGCTCCAGATTTCCACCTGAATTCACCTACATGTTGAATCTCAACTCAACTTTGCTGAACTGTTCTCCTTTCCACCCCTCCCCTTCCAGACCTGCCCCTCCTATGCTGCCCACTCCTGAGAGAGTGGCAGCTCCGCCCAAAGCCTTGAAGTCATCCTTGACTCCTCTCTTTCCTCACAGCCTGAATCCAAGCCACCAGCCAGTCCTGTCAATTCACCCTTGGAAATGCACCCGCCATCAGTGCTTCTCGCCATCCTCAAGGCCAGCTCCCTGGCTCTCATCTGGATTATCGCACAAGCTTCTCCCCGGTCTCCCGGCACCTTGCTTCTGTGCGCACACATGCACGCACACACACACACACACACAGACTCTAATCTTTACAGAGCAGTAGCAGAGATCCTGGATGACATAGGTTAGACAGTGTCCCCTCTCTGCTTGGAACCCTCCCGTGGCTCCCACCTTACCCAGAGTAAAAGCCAAAATCCTCCCTGTGGCCTACAAGGCCTGACGTGATCTGCTGACACCCTTCTCCCACTTTCTTCCCCTGTGGCCTCGGCTCCCACCACTCTCCCCGCTCCTGTCTCCTCTCCAGCCAGACCGGCCTCCTGGCTGTTCCTTCAGCATCAAGCACAGCTCCCGCCTGAAGCCTTTGCCTAGCCGTTCCCTGCTGGTGTGTTCTTCCTGAGTTCAGCACCTGGTCAATCCCCCCACTTCCTTCAAGTCTTTGTGCAAATGTCACCTTCTCAGTGGGGCCTTCCCTGAGCAGCCTATTTTTGGGGGGGGCTGTGGGATCTTATTTCCCTGACCAGGGATCGAACTTGGGCTCTCCACAGTGAGAGCAAGGAGTCCTAACCATTGGACCACCAGGGAATTCCTGCTGAGCAGCCTATCTTAGAAGGTGACTGTGCCCCCATTCCCTGTTCCCTGTGTACTTTGGGTTGGGTTTTTTTTAACTTTTTATTTTATATTGGAGTACAGTTGATGAACAATGTTGTGTTAGTTTCAGATGTACAACAAAGTGATTCAGTTATACATATACATGTATCGATTCTTTTTCAAATTCTTTTCCCAATTAGGTTGTTACAGAATATTGAGCAGAGTTCCGTGTGCTATACAGTAGGTCCTTGTTGGTTATCCACTTTAAATCTAGTAGTGTGTACATGTCAATCCCAAACTCCCTAACTCTCCCTCCCCCCCACCCTTCTCTCGGTAAATATAAGTTCCTTCTCTAAGTCTGTGAGTCTGTTTCTGCTTTGTAAATAAGTTCATTTGTATCCATTTTTTTTAGATTCCGCATATAAGCAATATCGTATTTCTCTTGCTCTGTCTGACTTACTTCACTCAGTATGACAATCTCTAGGTCCATCCATGTTGCTGCAAATGGCATTATTTCATCCTTTTTAATGGCTGAATAACATTCTACTTTGGTTTTTTGCTTTCCTATAGCATTTACCACTTTTCAAATACCAGATCATTTACTTATGTGTTATAGCATCATTTGTTACCTGTCTACCCTTGCCACAGTACGTGCTCCACAAGGGCAAGGATCTTTGCTTGCTTTGTTTACTGACATATCCCAAGTGCCTACAACAGTGCCTGCCACGTAGTAGATGCTCGATAGAAATGTGTTGAATAAATCAACCCTAATTTTATAGACGAGGACAGTGAGACTCAGAGACATTAAGCCATTTGCCCAAGGTCAGCAAGTAAATGCATAGCTGGGATTCAAATGCAGCTTGGGCCCCCTGCACTATGTTGCCTCTTGGTTTGAAGGCCCAGAGCTGGGGTCACAATATTAAGTGCCCACAAATGTATCCAGATGTTCGTCGCTCTGTGGAAATACGAGCATAGTGTTAATAGATTTTTTTTTCAGAGAAGTTAGGAATCCAAAATTTTATATGAGTTGTATCCAATTTTTTTTTTTTTTTGCGGTACGCGGGCCTCTCACTGTTGTGGCATCTCCCGTTGCGGAGCACAGGCTCCGGACGCGCAGGCTCAGCGGCCATGGCTTACGGACCCAGCCGCTCCGCGGCATGTGGGATCTTCCCAGACCGGGGCACGAACCTGTGTCACCTGCATCGGCAGGCGGACTCTCAACCACTGCGCCACCAGGGAAGCCCGAGTCGTATCCCTTTTTAAACATTAGTATCTGTTTCAAAATATGACTGAGCACTGCTCACAACAAATATTCCCGGGGACAGCTACAACCCATGAGCTGCTGTGTGTGACCTCTGACCTAGACGTTCTGGGTTAGCTCTCACAGCTAATCAGAACCAGGGAGAGAATTTCACACTGACAAAATGGCCCAGAAATCGGAGGTAGCTCCACTCCAGAATATCTATGTCACATAAGCTTTCCTCTCCAGCTGCCACATGGGAAGCCAACCCTTGTCTGTAACCCCAATAAATCTCAGACCTCCCCACAGCCTTGTCCCCATAGAGCATCCCGTTTTGGAGAAGCAGAATCCAATCACCAAAATTAATTCCCAATAATGCCAAATGTCACTGCAATCCTTGAAGAGTGTTGAAGGAGGTTCACTCTCATACTCTGCTAGTGGGGATGTGTACTGAGTTGAATAGTGTTTTCCAAAAGTTCATATCCGCCTGGAATCTGTGAATATGACCTTATTTGGAAATAAAGTCTTTGGAGCTATAATAAAGTTAAAATGAGGCCATATTGGATTAAGATGGGCCCTAATCCAATAAACAGTGTCCTAATAAGAAGAGGGAAACTTGGATATGACACAGACAGAGGGAAGACAGCCACATGAAGATGGAAGCAGAGGCTGGAGTTGCATCTACAAGCCAGGGAACATCTAGGGCTGCTGGTTAACAGCCGGAAGCTAGAAGAGGCGAGGAAGGATGCTTTCCTCGAGGCCTCAGAGGGAGCATGGCTTGCTGACCCCTTGATTTCAGGCTTCTAGCCTCCAGAACTGGGAAACGATACATTTTTGTTGTTTTAGTTTATGGTACTTTGTACAGCAGCCCTAGGAATCTAATACAGGATGTAAACTGGTGTGACGTACAAGAGAGGCAGCTTGGCAGCATCAAAATGGGAAGTACACATGCCCTTTGACCCCTCCCTCTTGTGCAGATAGAGCTGTAGGTTTAATTCCACATGTTGGAACACTGCAGCATTGTAACAGAAAACATTTGGAAACAACCCACATGTTTACTGATAGGGGACTAGTCAATCAATCATGGTGGATTTACATACTGGGATACTACGTAAACGAATGAGAAAGCGTTTTATGTACTGATCTGAACCGATCTCCAAGTTAAATTGCCAGGTGAAAAGGTGCAAGGTGCACGACATTATGACTTCCTTTAAAGCACTTGTGTAAAAAGAAGAATACTTACAGACATTGCTGGTATATGCGTCAAATCTCTCTTGGCTTCGGTTACCTTTGGGGAGGGCACTGGGGACTGGGTGGGTGGG